TGATAGTCTCGGGAAGGGCAGCACAGCACATGCTCCTGACAAGCCTCTCAGAAAGATTATCTGTTCAATGTCAGTAAAAGCAGGGCTGCACATAAACAAAAGACTACATATTGTATGATTCCATTTATATGAAATGTCCAGAATAGGCAAATCCATAGAGACAGTAAATGAACTGGTGGTTTCTGGGGATTAGAAATGGGGAGTGACTGCTAATGAGTATGGGGTTTTCTTCGGGGCTGATAAAAATGTTTTGGAATTAGATAGTGGTGATGGTTGTACAACTTTAAGAACATACTAACCACCAAACTGTACATTTTAAAAAGGTTGCATGTGAACTATATCTCAGCAAAGTGGGGGTGGGGAGGGACAAATCTGCCTTAATAATGGAGGTTCCTATTATTATCCAATAGTCCATCTTCTCTTATCAGGAATAGAAGTAAGAAGATTAAAGTAATTGTGTCAACAGCTCTTAATAACGAGAAGGCTGGAATTAGATTTCAAACTGTTTATACAGGGTGGCCAAAAAGTCTGGAAATGAAGTAGAATTTTAAAAGCTCTGCTCTCAAAGAGTTTAAAGGGAAATTACACAGAAAATGAGAGTAACCGGTAGCAAGTGGGCACTTGATAGGGTACTGGTTGCTCTCCATGAGCACCAGCCAGGCCTTTGGATTCTGTGGGCTCCAACACACCAAGACCTGACCTACAGCCAGGTGCCCCTGAGCCCCACCCACAGATTTCCCACGGTGGTGAGTCATGAAAAAAGTTAGGAAGCCAAATGAGCTTTTCCAAATTTTATTTCTGCACCCTTCTAGAAGTCATAGCAGCCAGAATGACCTATGTATGGTATCATCTCACCCCCTATTTAAAACCGAGCCACGGTGATCAGAAAACATGCAAACTCCCTAAAACCAGCTGGAATAAAATGCACACTTCATGTCCCAGCCACCAGCCGTGCCTGGTGGCGTCCGCACCTCTCAGGTCTCCCACTGCTCTTTCCTCTCACAGAGCTTTCGCTGCACCAGTTCTTCCAATAGCCTAAGCACCTGCTGCCCTGGGGCTGGCACAGACTGCTGCTGCTGCCTGGCTCTGCTCTTGGCTGGCCCCTTCTCACTCCTCTGGTCTTAACTCAAACAGGATTTCAGATAAATACAAAAGAGTCCTTCCTGTTATTCTCTACCACAGCTCCCTGCTGATTTTCTTTGGAGGGCTTACCACACTCTGTCACTACTTTACTATTTATTGTGTTTTGTTTTGTTTTTTTTCTGGTAGACTGTTCAAAGAGGACAGAGAACATGTCTACCTTAGGCCCTGACTGATGGCTAGCATTTGATTTTTGCTAAATAGATGAATCTGTAGTTTTAAAATCAACTCTGGCTAGGGAGCACACGGATAATTACAAGAGGCAAGAATAATAAAGTGAAAGTGATCACAAATCATACTTTAAGTAATACTGATTTAGGTGCTATTAATTAATCCTACCATTTTCAAGGACTTTTTCTGACAATTATACAATCACATTGGTTAAGCCGTGAACAGACTTAATTAGACAAATGTAACATGGATTGCCTGAATGTTTACTAACTGGGGGGGGGGCTGTATGCTTTATACTGTGCACGTAGTCCCATGTCTCCTTTTGCGGGGATGAAAATGTTTTGGAATTAGATAATGGTGATGTTGTACAACTTTATGAACTTACAAATCAGAGGCCAGCTAGGTTTCTGGACTATTCCCAGGATCAGCAGGCCATTTTCCCTTCCCTTTCACCCCATCTTCAAGTGTAACAAGCGCAGGTTACTGCTGTCACTCGTCACCAGGTATTCTCAATATTCACTGCACATTAGAGTCCTTTAAAAATTTGAAAAGATCGAGGAGGCTTTAAAAATCTCAAAACCGAGGCCACGCCTCAGACCAATTACATCAGAATCTTTGGGTTGGGTCCCAGGCATGGGTACTTTTTAAAGGCTCCTCAGATAACTCCAATGGGCAATCAAGGCTAAGAACCACTGTTTTAGGGAAAAGTCCAAGTATTCACAGTAACCAACCTCCACTTCATTCTCTTACGGTCACAGAATCTTGTACTTATTTTAAAGGTAAAAGAGTTGGGTCTACCCAAGGAAAGTATCCTATGAATAAATACTAATCTAGAAACATTATTTCCCGACTTTTTGTTTAAATCATTAAATTCCCTTTATTAGATTTGTAAAAACTTCCCCAAGTCCTGTTAAGGTATACTAATGTCACTGCCTCAGAATATTCAAAAAGAAAAGAAAAGAAAATGTATGTACTCGATGAATAGAACTCTAAAATATGTAAAACCCACTTACCTGAACTACTCAGAATATGACTCTACTATTTTACAGAATTCCTAGCAACAGACCAGGAACATTTAGCTTCTTCTAAGTAAAGAGAGCCAGATATATTCAACTGGCTATGTAAAAAACATGAATGAAAGAATGATGACAAAAAAAATGATAAATTTGAAATTGGCTGGCTTGAAATTACTTTAAAATATGACTAAAAAAACAGCCCCTGCTGGAATTAATCCACTTTAGGTAAGGAGAAGCATATTCAAGTTGTGTCCACATCTGTCATATCCACTTCTACACATACATGTATCTACTTATCTCACCTAGAAACACATTTTTACCTTTCTAAAGCCCACAGCAATGATTTCATGACACGAACAGAGAAAGCGATGTTTCTCATAAGATTATGTACCAAATGGCACTGATGTGGAAAAAATTTTAAGCTATTCAATATTGTAAAAAATCCATATGCCTTGCTAGAAAAAGTTTTTTATGCTATTTAGTGTTTTTAAAAATCTATATGCCTTGCGGATTCAATGTAATTCAAACAGCGAAGCAGTATTAAACTGCCACACAAGATTTGTTCTAAGTGTGATCAATAACGTCTAGAGTACAAACCTGAAAAATGCTTCAAAATCTCTTTTTGGAAGAGCTCCTCCAAGTGGACCATACAAACCCAAGAAAAGTAAAGGTATGTACTACTAGATGATTTTGTCTCTTATCACACAGTGATATGTGAGCCATTTTGAATCAAGGTTGTCTACAAACTTTCTACATATACCATATATCAGTAGATTATATTTTATGGAAAAGTGCTATTCTTGGATATTTTTCACTGATCTGAAAGCCAAAGCAGTTTTTCTGATCTGCCTTCAGAATCTTTGGTATTCACATAAAACCTGGAAGGTGCTTTAGCAGATAATGCTGGAGAGCATAAAAGCTTTTCTCATCCTGAAGACTGAGCATCTTCAAATTCATAATCAAGCAGTGTCCTATATGTAGGTAGACTTTCTGGACCAATGCTAAGTGTACCAAACTAATATAGTAACTATTACTTAATTTCAATTTCATTATTTAAATCAGAACTAACTTCTAAAACACGTTTCCTTCCTTCCAATGATAGACACGGATGAAATAATGTGTTATCTGTGTCTTTGCTTCCCAGCTGAATTTTTTTTTTCTTTATTTTTGTCCCCATGGTTGAGGAAAGTTACAAAAACCAATTCAATGAAAGTAAAACCCACCAGCTTTCTTGGGGAGAGCTGTATAGTAACACCAAATTCATTCGTGGTAGGGATTAATTCCTACTTGAATGAATGGAAAAATGAAATTGTAGAGTATTTCCAAAATAAACACACTGTAAAAACAACCTCAACAAATAAAAATTCAGCTCCTAATCTAATAAGATTTGTAACTTAGTTTAATTACAGAAGCCATTTATATAACCAAGGAGCTACGTTAGAGGAGATGCATTTCATAAAGTTTTTGTTTTTAATCTTAGGGTGTTTCCCATTTACCTGGAATAAGTGGCCTTTTTATTATTTTTTAAATTAAATTTATTGGGGTAACTGGTTAATAACATAATTTTCAGGTATACACAATTCTATAATACATCATCTATATACTGCATTGTGTGCTCACCACCCAAAGTCTCCTTCCCTCACTATATATTTGACCCCCTCTACCCTCTCCATTCCCCCTCCACCCCTCTGCCTCTCTGGTAACCACCGCACTATTATCTCTACGAGCCTGTTGCTTTCTGTTTTATATCACACACATGAGTGAAATCATATGGTTCTTGTGCAAGCCTTTATAAATCAAGAAGACAGAATTCTCCCCAGTGTCTGAATTAACGTTAATTCAGAATTAAGGAAGTCTTGATTGATGGGGTTTTAATATATGAATATAATGTGAAATGCACATTAAAAGTTCATAAAGTGTTTTTAATCTTAGGGTGTTTCCCATTTACCTGCAATAAGTGGCCTTTTTATTATTTTTTAAATTAAATTTATTGGGGTAACTGGTTAATAACATAATTTTCAGGTATACAATTCTATAATACATCATCTGTATACTGCATTGTGTGCTCACCACCCAAAGTCTCCTTCCCTCACTATATATTTGACCCCCTCTACCCTCTCCATTCTCCCTCCACCCCTCTGCCTCTCTGGTAACCACCGCACTATTATCTCTACGAGCCTGTTGCTTTCTGTTTTATATCACACACATGAGTGAAATCATATGGTTCTTGTGCAAGCCTTTATAAATCAAGAAGACAGAATTCTCCCCAGTGTCTGAATTAACGTTAATTCAGAATTAAGGAAGTCTTGATTGATGGGGTTTTAATATATGAATATAATGTGAAATGCACATTAAAAGAATTATTAGGGAGAAAGAATCAGCTTTCTGTACCCATTGAGAGCTCCCCACCAGTAAAGGCAGGGCGACTTAGTTGTAACACTTTCCATTTGTGCATCCATTAGAAGGTACACAGCTTGCCAGTATAATCTGATGAAATATACATTTCGGCTAGTCATCAGGAGATCAAGCACCAAGTTAAGGCTCTAAAATGTGTAACCTGTGGTGCTTTGACTGCTGTCTCAGGGAAATGGAGATAGACGGTAACTAGGGCATCCTTAGATGGGGGAAGGGGAGTGGAGGGGAGGATGGATGGTTTCAGGGAGAGTCACTTACGAGATGTAGGCTGGGTAGCCAAATCCTATCAGGTTGCACAGGAGAGAGGCTCCACAACCGAATACCAGGTACAAGGCCACCAGCCCGATGACACCTGGAGACACGAGAAGAGAAGTGGGTCGGGTGGCACGAGAGGCACTCAAGCCTGGCAGCCCCCCACCCCACCGCAAGGCTTAGCTTGTTCTAGGCAGGCGTTGGAGAAAAACATACCAAGCGAAGGTTGGGCCTGCGCCTTGGTAGGTTTTTGCCTTCCGTCTGGGAATACCGAGCAGCCCCACAACTTTGTGCCCTTCCTCCTGCCCTCCCTCCACCATGGTCTCCCGCCGAGCTGCACACCAGCCCGGGAGTCTCACTCCACTGACAGTCCGCAAAGGCCCCGATTCCGTGCACGCCCGCAGCCCTCTCCTTTGCCGAGGAGACACCGCTTCGCGGTGCAGAGCTCCACCGGGGCTCTGGGTGGACTGGGGACCTCTGCCACTGTGCCCGCGCGACCTCCCGCTGGGGGCCCCCAGCCGCTGGGCGCCCTGCTCACTGCCCCGGGGACACGGCGATCACAGACACGTCAGCGCCGGCCCTTCCCTGATCCTCGGGCGCTCCGCCACCTGGCCGCGGGCACAGGCCAACCGTCCCCCCAGCTCTGGCCGCCCCGAAAAGGGGCCATCTCCGGCCCTTGGCCTTTCTCGCGGCCAGTTCGGTCCCCAAGGATGCGCACGCCCCTGTTGGTCACAAGCGTCACCTACCCGGAACCCTCTCCCCGATCGCTTCCCCAGCAGCTGGTAGAGCAGCTGCTCCCGGGCCAGGGGAGCAGCGGGGACCCCAGGCAGCCCACACCCACCGAGTGCGATGTAGCTCCGGTTCACGCCGGTCTTGGCCTCGAGCTTGGCCAAGAGCTCGGTCATGCAGTTCTTCTCGTGCAGGAACTGGTCGAACCTCTGTCTCATGGCCGCAGACATGGCGGGGACCGTCGTGCCGCCGCCCGGGGCTGCTGCTAATACGGGTGGCTGCCGAGCGGGGTGACGGGCGGGGCCGGCGGCGTCTGCGCATCCCTC